GGCACCAAGGACACGCCGTAAATGAAGCCACAACCCAGACGGTGGCCAAAGCTACGGGGCGACACAACTCGGCCTGGCCCCGTGCCCGCTCCGTCAGGGTAGTAAAAGGGCTGCGGAGTGTCAAAAAAAGCAGCGAGGAGACACGATGAAAACTCCAAAGCTGGCATCCCTCCTGCCTGGAGAGCGGCGTATGCTCTGCGGGCTTGGAGAAGCAGAGCTACCCCACTAGCAGGGCTCTGGCACTCAGCAGGAGGAGGAGGAGGAGAAGGAGAAGCCAGGACCCGGTGGTAAAGCTGAGGTTTCACCGGCCAACCTCCATCTCTGCACGTGCATAAGCCACCAGCGCATAGGCCTCACCGACCCCAGCCACGGGGCCACGAGAAGCCACGTGGCAACGCGTCCTCCGAGCCTGGACTCCCCGCTCAGACGAGCCAGCTCCAACAGATAAATCCCACCCCAGGCTTGCTCGACAGCTTGTCGTCCAGAATAAGCGACGAGGAGAGGTTTGGCCCTCGTCCCAGGCCGCTGCTTTGGTCACTAGGCCTTCTCTGCGCCCGCCCGCTCCTCGCAGGGTGCTTCCTGTATCTCCACCTCGATTTGGGTCACCGTGCTCATAGCAAATCTGGTGTGAGCTCCCTGAGGTCAAGGCACTTAATCCAAGTTTATGTGACCGACTGGGATCAGCAAGCGTAACAGAAGGTAGCGGGGAGGAGGAAGAGCCTGCTCCTGCCGAGATAAAAGTCTCTGGTATCTCCTCGAGGCGGGACACCAGCGAGGCGAAAGCAATGCGAGGAAATGCAAAGCGTGCTCGCGCCACGAGAGCGCACGTACGCCAGGAGGTAGGAGGCGGCTGCCCAAACCCTCCTGGCGTTCCCCGCCCCCAAAAGCGCCGCAGATTTGACATTCTCCTCGGCAGCCTCGTGAACACAAAAGCAAGGAGTTCAGCCCCCAGGTGCGAGGGGGCTGCGAGAACAAAAGGTTCCACCAAGCACGGGGGGAAAAAAAACCTCTCGTTAGTAACAGCCTGCCGAGGCCCTGCCTGCCTCAAGGGCTGCGTCGGTCGGGGACTGAAACGCGTCACACGGCGCTGCGGACAAGAAACGGTGCCGTTGAGAACGGGAGCACGAGCAGCGACGACCACCAAGCCCCTGAAGAGCAGGGGAAGCGATGGTGGAGGAAACAGTGGTCTGAAACACAACAGTCTGCAGAGCCACCTGAAAAAAAAAGGAGCTCACTCGCCCTGCTGCCGAGGTGTCGGGAGCACAGCCGGGGATGGAAAGACCACGGATGCTTCTTACACCGGGTTTTTACCCGTGAGGACGTTTAAGAAACAGAGGAGCCCTCCTGAAACAGCACTTCTGCTGCGGGGTTGAAGACAGCCTGCTGAAGCCCGGCCCCGTGGGCAGTCCCTTCGCGGTGGTACCACGGGAAAGGCCACGGGGGCACCAGCAGCTCACACGGGCTCGCTGTGGTGTTCAAACAAGCTCCGCAAAAGATGGCTCTCGCACGCCGCACCACGCTGTCAGACAAGCCCTGGGAGACTGAACTCCTCCACGAAAAGGGTAGATAATAATCCTGAGCGCTTACGCCTGGATTTTCTTGAAGGCAGATGAAAGAGGAAACACTAAGACAACCATCTTAAACCGTTCCCCAGAAAAACATCTGGGGCATTTTCCAGGCATTGAGCATTTTCCAGATATTTAGCAAAAAGCCCTTCTGTTAGCAGAGGTGGATGCCACAAGGGAACGAGGCAGATGCACGAGGAAGGCAGAAGGTATCTGCTACCTTAGTTTGTTCACTGTGCTGACACTGCGATAGTTATAAGAGAGATTTCCAACAGCTCTCCACTAGAATCCTTCCTTTCCAACAGCTCTCCACTAGAATCCTTCCTTGCAGGTCATTTCACCCGCAGGACAAACTTCCAGCCCAGCATCTCCAGAAGGGAGACGTGGGAGCAGAGCCTTGGGAAGACCGGCTCCCACCTGAGCTCCGAGAGCAGCGACTAGAGGAAAGCAGAACCAACTGCAGCGAGTGGAAAGACGGGGTTTTGGGCAGGTTTTTCGAGGCGGAGGTAAGGCGACGGCGCACGAAGCCCTTACCTGCAGCTGGGTGTACTGACAGCTCCCCATCAGGCACTCGGGGAAGAGGAAGCCGGGATTGCTGGGCCATCTGAGCAGAGGTTAAGGAACAGAGGACAATCCAGTCCGGAGAGCTCGGAGAACGAGTCTGAAAGTTGGCAGGGCCCTCGCGCTCGGTTTGCGGGGGGGAAGGAGAGAAGATTAAGCTGCTCTTTATACACAAGTCATTATTCTGTAATAAGATTTATCGACATTAGAACAAAACCATTAGCACATCTAATCCACAACTGCCCAAAATCTTGTTACCCTTCCAAATCTCCCAGCCCTGCACCTCGCCAAGTCAAGTTGCTAGAGCTCAGGGGGCTTAAAGTCAAAAACTCAAATCCTTTATTGTGCACCTAAACGGGATGGATTCTGCAAAATCCTAAAATACCCGCAAATCCCATTAACGTCAACAACAGTCACTTGTTCAGGAGACTTATCTTCGAAATTTGGGTGTAGAAAACATTGATTTTTTGCAACTGCACAAGGCTCAGGGGCAGAGGTTGCCAACTCGCAGCCCGTGAGCACTCCGCAGCCCACCACCCCGACCCCTCTGCGAGCCCCAACCCTCCTCCCACAGACCCACCGACGTTCCCAGCCTCGGGACCGGGTCGTGACCCGCAGCCTCCGTGCCATCTCCCGCCGTACAGCAAGGTTTACAGGAGCGGCAGAAACTCAGCCACTATGGCCGTAACGAGGTGGGGCCAGTTCAAACTTGTTTCAGCCAAAGAGGCGTTTGGTTGCAAGAAGAGTCGAGATATGATGTGTTTTCTGGCCACCTCCTGAAAGAACAGCTCCACGATCGTTTGAGGGCTGGATACTAAAAATACAAGTTAAAGGAACAGTGAGACGAGGCCCCGCGGAGCGGCAGAAACTCAGCCACTATGGCCGTAACGAGGTGGGGCCAGTTCAAACTTGTTTCAGCCAAAGAGGCGTTTGGTTGCAAGAAGAGTCGAGATATGATGTGTTTTCTGGCCACCTCCTGAAAGAACAGCTCCACGATCGTTTGAGGGCTGGATACTAAAAATACAAGTTAAAGGAACAGTGAGACGAGGCCCCGCGGCGGCCGCCCCAGGCTTCCGAACACCGCGCTGTGCTCATCAGCCCAAACACCACGGATTAAGGCAGAGCAAAGCAATAAGCACGTTCAATACTCGGAACTTGTTGGTTTTGGATTTCTCTTGCCGTCTGGTTCAGTCAGAGGGAGTAGCAGGAGATCAAAGAGGCACATGCTGCAATGTTTATTAACCACAACTCAATTATAACATGAAAAAGATAAAAAAAAAAAAAAAAAGAGAGGGCTGTGCTCTCTCTCTCCAGTTGGGCTATTCACAACCCAGCTGCAGCTTTCCAGCACCACCAGTGTCTCGCAGGGCAGGGCTGAGGGAGTGCTGACCTGGCTGTCTGGCTCTGTTCAAATGCCTCCCTCCTCATTCCGGCACCCTAAGCAGTCCAACCTCCCCTTAACTAACTGTTCCCAACGCCTCTCCCCAGGCTGCCACCTCCTTTCTGTCTTCCCCACGTTTCACATATTTCTTCCTCGAGCACGGCAGCCAAACAGGACTTTCCTCACGAGCTGGCCAAGAAATAACCCACGACACTGGCAGGCACAAAGGATGTTTTCAATCCCGCTTTCACGCGCTGACATTTACGTCGAGGCAACCGTCTCCTGAACCGAGACTCTCACTCGGGGCGAGTTTGGACTCCGAGCGAGCGGAGGAAATTCTCCCCCCAGCTCGCAGCCCTTCACACGTGGCACTGCTGCCTGTTTGTCACCGGTTTTCTCAGCCCCCTCCGAGGTGTCTCAGCCTCGAAGCGCAGACTGGTTACAGCAAGCTCTTACCTGCGCGTTTTCTCCCCTGCCCGGCTCACCACCTCCCTCTGTAACCACTTCAAGGTGCACATCCTCCTCATTAAGCTGCTTTATATCCTCCCCCATCAGGATTTCTCCCCCAAGACAGCGACCCAAAGCGCACGCCTTTGCAGCAAGACCTAAAGCGTCAACGAACTATCAGCTGCCATTTCCCCCTCGAGGTACTGGCTGTGAGCAACACTCACGTCTGAACTGCGAAGCGCTGGAAGCACAAGCATGTTTTGGGGAAGGATTTCTACATTCTCTCGCTTCCCAGAGCTGCTGCTCCTGGTCTGACCCACGGCAGCCACAGAAACATGCAGGAGCGAGAGGTGAGCGCGACAGATGCTGCCAGGGCCAGGATTAATCATGCTTGGCTGAGCGAGGCCTTCCCATCCTCCTCGGGCTGAGAATAAAAGCCACGTCTCTGGCCCGAGTCCAACGCTACAGGACACTCAGGTGGTGGTTTTTTTGGCGGACAGCAGCACGACAAGCGTCTCCACGTAAAGCGGGGTCCCTCAACCACGCGCTCCATCGGCTCGAAGCGCTTCCCTCGGGCGGCAGAGACACGGAACGCGAGCGCCGCAACGGAACCCGAGCGCTGACGAGATCTCACCTAGCTTATGAGGCGTTACAGCAGTGGTGTCTGCTAACTCCAACACAGAGAGATGCTGCAGATTAGATTCCCTAGAGAAGAAGAAGAAGAAAAAAAAAAAAGCCATCAGTGACGAGACAACAAAACGCCCCCTGCTTTAATTGCGCTCGTGGTTCAACTCGAACGACTCCGACGGCTGAAAAAAAAAGGCAACCGCGCGCGGAGCAGCGAGACCTCACATGGCAGAACGAGCGCAAGGCAGAGAGTCAGCTCGAAACACGGGAAGGGGGGGAAAAAAAAAAAAGCAGCCAATCCTCCCCAGCACAACCTGACTCCCAGAGTGATACTCCCACAGGAGCTTTTCATACCAGGAAGGGCATTTCAGGCGGATCTGGCAGGAACCTACGAGCAAAGACAGAAGGGGCACGGTAGGGACTTACAGCGTGTCGACGGGGACGTCCGAGGCCAGGCACTGGCTTGCCCACCGGATCAGGTAGTAGGACAGCAGCAGGGGAGAGGTGCGGTGCAGCAGGTCCTGCTGAGACTGGAACAGCTGTACCCCTCCCAAAACCATCTGCAAGCAAACCACAGCGGTTGGCACACCCAGAGGCTGAGCCCGGGGAGCAGGACA